CCCTGCAGCAGGCCGGTCTGCTTCCGCCGGGGTCCTCGACGTGGCGCCGCACGCGGCGCCTCGGCGGGCCACGGCGTCTGGTCGACGTGCAGCTGCTGCACGGGCTGGCGGGGCGGCGCCCTCGACGCGGCGGCGGATGGTGTGGTCGAAGATGACGACCTTGGTGACGCCCGGCAGCTTCGCGCGCAGCAGGGCCTCGACCTCGGCGTAGTAGGGCCCGCGCACGGCGGCGTCGTCGGTGAAGGCCTTCTCCTGCGAGGGCGCGTGGTAGACGCCAAAGCCGGCGGTTTCAGTGGAGAAGTTGTCGAGCCCGGCCGCCCGCATGTCGGCGACGGAGCGTTGGCGCTCGACACGCTGGTAGGATGTCTTGTCGACGTCGACCTTGCCCCAGGGCTTGCCGGTGAAGGAGTCGAGGTCAATGTACTTGAAGGTGCCGGTCGTCATGGCGGCGGCTGTGCTGTTGCTCGCGGATCTGGCTTGTGGTTGTTGGGATCTGGCGAGGCTGGTGAATCTGGGCGCTGCGACGCTGGTCCCTGGTGCTTGTCTCACGGACAATGGAATGGTATTGCGAGAGAGTTGGCGTGCTGTCGTTGTGACTCGATGCATGCTCTGACTACCGTACCTAGGACACTTGTTGATGAGAGCTTGCATCCATCCAAGGAGGCATCCAAGGAAGCATCCAAGGAAACATCCAAGGAAGGCATGAGGCTGCGGGGGTCTTAAAGCCTTTGGACATGGCGGCATCTCGACGCGGAAAGGGAAACCCGCTGATTACATCATCACCTTCGACTTGGGAAGTGGCGCGCCTGCCTTTTTCGTCGTCTCACGGATCGCGCTTGCCCACTCGGCGATTGCTCATCGGCCGGGCTTTGGTCATTGGTAAGCCCTCGCCCCATCATTGGCATGCACGCCCCGTGTTGCTTGTCAGTCATCGATCAATGGTGATGGCTGAATAACGTCGACCTGACTTGACCTCTGCCCGACGTGGGGGCCTTGAGTCGTTCTGACGCAACCCGCGAGTACCAGCAGCGTCTACTCACTTTGCCATGAGAGGCAGGCAATTCGTGATATGCGCCAGTCAGCACCACACTCAACGAGCCATGCACGACAATGAATAAGAACCATGAGGATGCATGAGAACATGACAATGAGAAATGAGAACCAGTCAATAAGTGAGGCCGTAGCCAGCAGAGTAGAATTATGCGTTCGCCGCCTAGGGGTCTGTATGCCCCGATCGCTCCAGGAGTGAGCCGCCCAAAAATGTCGCCAAACGCCCTTGATGAATGCCCTCAATAGAGCGACAAACCAGCCCATCCGCTTTCAAGTTCATGAAAACAATCCAAGTACTCAAAAAATACAGAGGGGGGTATAGTGCTAAGCCAATGACCAGATGCAGTACAAACAAATGTGCTTTTCCTTCTCTCCCTATCCATGTCCACGAGAACATTTCGTCTCATTATCGTTTCGTCATGTGCATCCATATGGGACGCGATGCCAAATGGGCTCTATATGTCCCACGCCATGTCTTCATGCCCTCGGCTCTGGGCTCGTCCGGAGTGCATCGAGCATCTCCAGCGCCTCGTAGTCGATGGGCTGCGCATTGGGGTACGCCGGCGGGCTCGGAGGCACGTCGCTGTAGACGGGCGGCGCCTCGTTGTCCCAGCTGACGCCGAGGCCGGCGCACTCGGTGAGCATAATGTGGTACTGCATGCGCAGGATGCGACCCGTGCCCGTCTGCGCGGCGAGGTGCGGCTTGCCGGCGGGCGCCCACTCCTTGCTGACGACCATCTCGACCATGAGCGCGTGCGAGACCGAGGTGCCGTCGAGCGAGCGGCTGTCGCAGGCAAAGCCCGGCGCGCCGTTCTTCGAAGAGGCGAGGAGCGACGCCGCGACGCCGTACTCGAACCCAAACTCGACGTGGCCGTCGGTGGCCGTGTAGTCCGACTTCCAGCCGTCGTGCATGTGCTTCTCGCCGAGGATGCGCGTCTCGGTGCGCGAGGCACCCTTTTGCGCGGCCGGGGCTGAGCCCTCGGCAGGGGTGGTAGGCTGGTGCTTCTTGCAGGCGGGGGCGACCGTCTTGATCGTCTCCTCGAGCTTCCACGTGATCTTCTTGAGCTTCCAGTACTCGACCGTCTTGGTGGCGTCATTGACCGTCGTGAGACCGTCGAGACGGAGCTGGACGGCGTGCTGCGATCCGGTCGAGTGGATAACCTGGTCGTAGTCGGCGCCAGCCTTGATGTTGGTGGGCGGGAACACGCGCACCGAGTGGTGGGGCGTGTCTGGCTGCACGAGGGAGCGCTTGACGTCAAAATCCTTCCAGAACTTGATCGGCAGCGCAGAGATCCTGGCGTTCTTGGCCAGGGTCACCTCCGACTTGAACTCGTAGGCAATCGACACGAGAGGGGTGTCGAGGCTGGCCGGCAGGTGACCTTCGAGAAGGATGGAGAAGGGGTACTGGTGCCTGCCCTTGCGCAGCGTGGTGGGGTGGCTGAGAAATGTCCACTTCTTGAGCTCCGTGTATTGGTCTAGGCAGTCGGCGCAGTTGACCATGAAAGGCTTCTTCTGGTGCACGTGGATGTTGAGGGCCGCGGAGAAGTTCTCAATCTCGAGGTGCTCGTCCTTGACCTCAATGATCATCTGGCCCGACACAAGGGCGCCCGAGGACGACTCGGCGTCCCCGAAGAAGATGATTGGCGGGCTCTCAATCTTCCAATCGAGCGCGGCATGTGGGTTCTCGTGGATCTCCCTGCTGCGGCCAAACGGCAGGGAGATGCGGTGGTTGGTCTTGTCCTTCTTGTGGCTCTTGAGCATCTTGTCCTTCTCCTTGCGCTCCCTCTTGGCCAGCTCTCTCTTTTCCTTGACGGGAGCAGGCTCAGGTGCATACATCAGATACGGAATCTCGTCGTACTGCTCGGACAGGCTGGGGTCGTAGGATGGGAAGCGCTCAATGCGACGTCGCACGGGAGCTTGTTGCTGGGGTCGGATGGATGACTTGATTGTGTTGACAGCAGTGGCAGAAAACGTCTCTGTGGAAGCCCGCAGGAAATCTGCGACTCTGTGGGGCATGGTGACGGCAATAGTTGCGCTGGTGCTGTGCTGGTGGTGTCACTGGACTGGATTTCCCCGGATTCTATTCTTGGCGGTGATCAAATCCCTGAGGGAAAGAAAAAACCTTCGAAATGAGGAGTCGGTATGATGTGATGTGGCGTGTATTTGACTGCTCTGATTGCTCGGGTCCAACAAGGGAGAGAGCAAGGCGGAGGAGCTGGCAATGGAGGGGGGCGGGGCCGCTTTAGGGGAAGAGCTCAGCTGATCGAACAGGCGAGGATCGAGGGTTGAGGACGATGGTATGCTGCTCTGTCTTGTGCCGTCGTCAGGCGAGCAACAGACCCATTCAGCCCGCTAGTTGGTGCTGGAAAGCTTGCTTAAGGATTTCCGATGCAGCGATTGCGGGGTAGTCGCCGGGGCAGGCAGGCGATGAAGTTTCGACGTGTCCAGCTGACGGGATAGAATTTTGCGCCCCTGCAGGACTAGTTGGTGTCTGGGGCTTTTGGGCTGCAGCGACAGCGTTGCTAGGTCGGTCCGGTCGGGGTCGCGAGGCGGGCAGAGAGTAGGTCGCAATCCTCGTGGGTCCCAGAGGAGAGAGACTGCTGGTGTCGTCTGGCGAGCCGTAAAGAAAACGGTTCGAGAGAACGAGTTGCGCAAGGCGATTCTGATGGAGGGGTCATAAACCGGGGGGTCGTGTAAGTGAGCAGGCTTGCGCGATGCTGGGTGCAGATGCAGCTGGTATGGTGGAGAAAGCAGGCAATGGATGATGGTGCTGGGAACGGGTTCGTAAGGTCGTCGAGGCTCAACGCAACGTAGAAGGCAGAGCTCAGAAGGTGAATAGATGAAGAACGAAAACAATTTCTATGGCGTCAAGGGCAGACGTCAAACATTATTAGTATTCGTCTGAAGCTCGCCATGTCGTGATGCCCGGTGGTTTTCATAGAGTAATTATGTGTCATGAATTGGTTCCCCTGGTCTGCTCCGTGTATGCGCTTTCGAATGACACGGCTCGGTTTGGGCCGTTGCTGCTTCCTCGACACGCACTGGGGGGGGCGTGTTCAAGGGAGTCCTGGGGCGTGCCTGCACTTTGCTTCCCAGTGCCTGCTTACCACTCCACTACTTGGGGGGACTCACTGCCCACAGCCCACAGGAACCATGTGGCCTGTGGCAGGGGCGGGGGGCTGTTCTTTTTTTTCTTGTGGTGGCACCTGACCTGGCCCAAACGGCCCCCTTGCTGACGTGCTCCAGGGCTTGGAGCTCGAACCTCGAGGGGCAGTCACCGTCGTCGAGGGCAAGTGCCAGGCTGTATTGTCTCTGGTCTGTGTGTCAGGCAAGGGACGTATGGAGAGGCAAGTCCAGGAATCCAGGCCTCGTACTCTGCCCCTCCTCTCCTACCTACCTACCTACCCCTCCAACACGCCTAATTAATTGGACCTCTTTGTCTTTGGCCATTCCGTCTCTCACGACAGTGCCCCATGCTCCGTCAGAAACATCCGGCCGTCCACGACACGGGGTCGCAGGGAGGATAGAGTTTGGGCTCAAAGAAGCGACGGTGTAATGCAGAGGGCGTGACGGATGGGGAGTACCGCACCACACCGCTACCGTGCATGCATGCATGGCCCGAATTGCGCGAGGTTGAGGGCCCATGGCGTCGCAAACGGCCGGAAAAGATCTTATGCATTTTAAGGATTGCGTGTGGCACGACGGACCGTCCACTGCCTAACCGTCTCCTGTCTTGTTGGCCCTGACCCTCTGAACCACACCGATCTGCCACAACATCTGCAACCGGGAACCTTGGTAGCCAGCCGAGCCGCCGGCCGCGCAACCGGGCGGTGATGGCGTGTGATGCAATTGTCCGGATGAGATGGCGCGATGCCTTGTTTCGATGAGGGTGTGAGGTTGGTGCGAAAGGAGGGAGGGGTCCTGGTGCCGCTTCGCCCTGGCGCTCTGCTGATGCTTCGTGACCACAGGGGCCAACGTAGGCATGCCCACTGTATTTCGTCAGCACATCTGGGTCTTCGCGTCGTCATGCCATCCCCATGCTCCAAAGTCGTTCGACTGGTCGAGCCCGGAGCAAGCTCCTGTACAGTGGTAGGTACATGTAGCGAGGTCAGGGTAGCTACGCAAGCTACGGTACCTCAGGTCACGCAGGTCCGTCGCATGATCCTGTCATGATTAAGCTCCAGGCGATCGCCGCCGGTTGCTGATGCGCTGCGGTTACAGGGCAGCGCCGCGCCCGAGTACCTGTAGCATGCTCACGCATCGCCTGGTCACCAGGCACGATGCGGGGTAGCTGCACGACTGCTGGGCTCGTTGCAAGTGAACTGTTCTTCCAAGATGGAAGAGCAAGTACAAAATCAACATGCCATCTGAGTCACAGCTTGCATTACAATTGACATGCTGAAGCTGTACTGAAGACGTTGGTGGCCCAGTGTGTGTGTGTGTGTGTCGGGAGGGATTCCGTTACATTATCCACCGTCTGTCCTCCGTCATTGACATCGTTCGACACACTCACGATGCCCACGGTGTTGTGGACCCGCGTCGCTGAGCACCTCATCCAGAGGAATGCTGTGAAGCATGATGGATTGACACGCCCCGGGTGCTCGCCGAGCGTGCCTGGGCAGGGTGCAGCCTGTCCAAGGTCTCTGCCAGGAAGAAAATTCTCAATCACGAGGGCGGCTGTCCGCAATGTGCGATGGGTCCCCTTCCCCACCATGTGCGCGTCCAGAAGCGTCGAGCCCAGCCAGTCCTTTGACCCAGGTGTTCCCCCTTCTGGCTTCTGGGCTTCTGTGGTAAGAAATTTTCTTACTGTACGTGCATCCCTCCCAAGCCTCCCAAGCTCCCAGCTGGGCCCGAGGTGGGTTGTGAGCACGTCCTCCACACCTTCTCGCCTACTGGTACCTGATCACCGACAATAGCAGCGATCATAACAGGGGAATTGCAAAAGATTTTCCTCTACTCTGCTCAGGACCGGCCGGAGTGGGGATGCATGATTCATGGAGGGGCGCGCACATGCTCTCAAGTCGAATCATCCTCGCACAAGCTCTTGGGAGTGGAGGGCGATGCGACCATGTAGCTTTTTCCTGCCTTGGAAGGTGAAGCTGTCGTTGCACAGAGTTTGTTTGGTGCCTTTTCTCCCTGCCTGGCTTGCCTGCCCGCCTTACTGTACATGTACATGTATCATTACTTCCTGTCCTGAGTGACTGCCTTCCTTCCTTGCGCCTGCCTTGCTTCCTGCCTTCCGTGTGTACCGCACCGTATGCTTGCACTGGAGAGATGAAAAGGGTCCACAAAAAGCCCCATCGCAAAACCTTGATGCCAGTGTCTAACCCGTTTAGGACACTGAAGATCACACCTTGCAGGCGATCCTTCCCCGGATAATGATGTCAAATGGGCATTGCCAGTCAGTCAGTGGCTCGTTGCCGGGAACGAACCTCCGGCCTGTTCCTGCCAAATCGCGATGGCGATGGCGTCTTCGGTGAAAGGCAGTGGCGGATATTTTGCCCAGCGTGCCTGCCAGTTCAGTTCTCGCTAAGCTTCATGAAGACCATTGATATCAACGTCCTTCTGTTGGTTCACCACATCCAATTCTACCATGTCGATCGTGCGCCCTAACACCAGCAGGAGTGAGCGACCCTCCAGCAGAGCCACCTGCGACAGGCGCCGCATACGCCCCTCGTTCTCGTCGCTGTCGGTGCTCTCCTCATACGATGAACCATGACATCGACAGTTCTGATGCAGTGGGCGCAATGCCTTGATCACGCTGGCAATTCACCTGATCACTTCTGTGACGCCTCTCCGCCCTGATCGCAAATCCACGGCGCGTACTGACCAGGGCAATAGGCAAGCCCTCTTTCCCCGCATTCTGCTGGGAGCGACGCCAGCTCGAAGCAGGACGAACGTGACGTCTTAAATTGATGTCTCCGCGGTCCGCGGGCTGGGCGCTTTCTCAACCTCTCGACATTCTCGACAGACGCGATGCACTGGTCTCCATCAAGCTCCCCCATCTGCTCGCAGGTCTTGGCCTCGGTCACTCTTGCGCTCCTTGCTCACCGAATTCACCGAAAGAAACATCGACAAACATCGTGAACCGTCAGGCACGGACGACTCACCACGTTCAGGCTCAAAAGCGTTTATGCGGTCTGGGTCCCATGCACCACTTTCTCTTACCCGCCAGGGTCCTCGCCCGCTAAGCACCGGGACAGCCCGCCCATCTGCCCAACTTGCATCTCTTTCACCAGATGCGGAAATCCTGTTACTCAACTGTTACACGATAAAATCCACCCAACATCCCAAGTGCCGCCCTGTATCGACTTGGCACGACCCCCACCACCAGCTCCCAAGACTCCGTCCAAAGCTCTTGATCTGATAATGAACCGTAGAGCTGGGACGTTTCTCTCCGTCGCCCAGGGTCAGAGCTTCTGTCCCCCAGTTTTCTTGAGCTCACATCGCGATGGCACTGTTGATGTTGTCGTCATTACCTACAAGCAAGTGGAGGTCGGCAGGTGCCCGGATCGCGATCCTGTCCTCCTCCGGGGCATCGTGCCCGAACGCCCAGTTTTCTATTACAGTGTTTTGCAGTATTGACTCCGAACGCCCCCGCCGGACGCACATCCGACTTTGCAACCGCCCGGCCATGCTGGTCTTCCGTGATCATTCCGTGAGGAACAGACCCCGGGCGCGACCGGCAAAAGGTCTCGACCGCCACCCTGCCATTTTTGTTACGTCAAGCATTGTCCGGAGTGGGCCCGGGGTCCACGGCCCAGACTCTTCTTTTCAGGCGACACGCTCAGCACCTACCACCATGTCCACGGCACTGTGTCGCTCGCTCTACCCAATTTGCGTCCTCACGGGGCCACGATCCCGTCATCGGAGTCGCGATGCTGGTATTCTCACGATGTCTCTCGACCGACAAAGGTGTTTTGCTCGGCTCGGATGGGGCGTGGGAGGAGCGGCGCGGGGCGTCGTGACAGGAGTCCCTGCATATTGGCCCTCCCAGCCAGTTCAGACTATCGTCA